GTTATATCACCTGCCAAGTCACATTTACAAGGCCAATAATAGGGTTTGCTCTCTACTGAACATCTCTCCTTGCCCCTCTCTGCAGAGTGATGCTTTTTAATTCAACACGGCACACAGAGATCGTATCGCTGATAAAAGCTCTGCATTCTCTGCTGTGCTGCCAATAAACTGCACGCAATGTTTGTGCATCGTCTCTACTTCACTTTTTTTTTTTTTAAAGAAACCTGTTTATAAGTTTGCAAAATTAACTCTATTACATTAACCACACACACTGAACAGCTACTTTCTAAGGTCATTATTATATATACTCATGTGCACACACAGACATAGATTTACAGACCTATCAATGGGAACTAGTTGAAATTCAGTGGCTGAATTTCCCTCCTCCCACACTTTCCCCTTTCCCTCAGCTGCTGGAGGGCATCTCTGGAGTCCCCGGTTGGCTTAGTGCAAGAAGGAACATGTTTTCTGGTTAAAAAAGCCTGTATCGTAGAAGAGAAGAGACAACTGTCCTGTGAAACAGTACAGCAGTATTTCCAACCTCAAAATCTGATATGGTTCTCATGGCTGCTTTTTACAAGGATCGCCTACCTTTCCCCAGAAAAACACTTGCAGTGCAAACCTCGTCCCTTCCCTTGGCACGCGGTTGCTCTCCCTCTGCGGTGGCAATTCCCGGTGCTTAGTCCTGGCTGCTGCGCTTTCATCATGACACTGCCGTACCAATTCCGCCCCATTACTCAGAGCACTAATAGTCCATCAGGCCCCGAGTGTTAGCACAAAGTTGGTTAGATGATGCAAAAGTGTCTTACGAATTCCTATGGAAAAGAGGAATGTTTCAAAGGAAAGGGGTGGACCCCGTGGTGTTTGGTATGAAACCTATTTGTGTCTTGCAAAATAAGATGGTAAATAAGAACTAGGAAGGAGAGTTTCTGGGCTTAGGTCATCTGGTAACACCATCGAAGTGGAGATTTAAAAAAAAAAAATCCAAACAAGCTGCCTTGTGCTGCCGCCGGCACCCTGCCTACTGCAGTCAAACATCCAGAACTCACAGCAGCTCTGTCTGAAAGACGCACACAGCTCTGCATCCAACGCCCAGGTTTTCCATCACACGAGTAAAGAACTGCCCAGAATATGACAAAGTTGTCCGGAATGAAGCACCTGGATTTGCTGTCAGGGCTCCAAGCGTGGCCAGTGCAACACAGTGGACACAGGCAGGGCAGACATCCAGCTCTGGCTAGCAGGTAGCTCTCCATGTTCCTTGCATGAGACATCGCATTTGGGAGCTATACTCTCTTCTGCTTAGCTACTGCCATGATAACCTGACGTCTTCTCATCAGTACTGGTGATGTGACAGATGTTAGTCACCCACAGTTTATTATTGTCCAGCAGAAAGACTGCGGAAGGAAGGTAGAGGTTTTGGCAAAGTCTTATCTGGAAGTACTGCAAATGCAGATGGTGCAGATGGGTAATGACCACTGATGCTCTGGGAATGGCCTGGAAGGAACCTCAAGGATTATCTTGTCCATCTTTTTGCCCCAAAGCAGCATAAAAGGTGCGTAATGGCCAGGGACAAGCCAGGCTGAGGGTGAACATCTACTGTAGAGCAAGGTTACTGGGAGGAAAGCAAGGTGCCCAGTGGCGATGGAACCATCATCTCTACCCCGGTCCCCACAAATCCACCAACTGCTTTGATGTGGGAGCAGAATCAAGCTGCAGTTAAGAGACTGGGAACAGCTTTGGAGAGCTGGACCCATGAAACCAGAGGGAGATGTCCCAGGGGCCTCATTTTAACGGTGACTTCATGGTCCCTTTCACAAGGAGCCACAAAAACTGCCCAGCCTGCAGGGAAGGAGGGAGAGCACCAGCGTGGCCAAGCCCTGCCAACCCTGTTTTCTCAGGTGAGGGTCTTAAAAAGAGGTTTTCTCTCTGGGAGAAAGCAGGCTTGGATGGCTGGGTTGTTACAGCTGAAATGGTAGCAGGAGGTTGGAAACCCCCCCCAGGCTCTCCCTGTCTGCTCGGATGGCTTAACAGGTCCCAATTTAGTAAGGTGCTTAAGCAGAATTAATTTATCCCAGCGTACATGGGTACATGTAAATCTCAAAGGCATAAGTCTCATGGGAGCCACCACAGTTCAAGGCATATTTAGGGCCAAGGACCTCAGGGATTTCCCCAGTAAATCTGGGTGTAAGAAGCTGCTTTAAAGCTATGCTGAATCCCATCAGCCTGAAAACAGTGGTTTCATCTCTTCCTTGTAAGGAGGAAGGTTAGTCCCTTTCTAGAGCTCTTCAAACACTATCTGACCTGCAATCAGCCAGGACAAAGCATGGAGACATGAAGAAGTTCTCTAAGAAGAAGGCATTTGCATCTGACTTGAGCCAGTGCTGTGCATGTGTGCAGCCGATGAAACAAAGGCGATTGCAATCCTTCTCTTCAGAAGACCAAAATCACATCAGAGTGCTTCCTCCTTTGAAGCTGATGTAACTGGTGCTCAGGGCTTCCACCATGTGACTGAGAACCAGCTTTGTGAAAGCTCAGCAGATGGAAACCACAAGCGCTGCCCTGAACCATCCCTCTCTGATGTGCAAGGCTGGGCACCTGGAAGAAGCCACTTCTTAGGGCTGCGAGGAGGAGCCAAAGGTTGAAGCGCAGGTTTGTTGCTTTCGATCCGTGGGGAAACAGCCTGGCAGCACGTCGTACGTAAGAAGGGATCTCAGAGCTCGCAGCTGGTGGAGAAACGTGGATGATGATTGTCCCATGAGTGGCATTTTCCCTGCTTTCCAACAAAACCAGGGGCTTGGAGGGTCTACAGCCCTCAAACGGTGCCTGTATCACCCAGGTGGCACAAGGTCCTCTATAGCGTGCAGCCAAGCAGAGATATGGAGGAAAGCAGGAACCTGACCCGAACCAGATCCAGGTTTCTGACACCTGGAAAAACCAGCAGGTCGCTGCCCTCAAGGGTGAAGGGCCGTGTCTGTCTTGCCATGGAAAGGAGCTGGAGTCTCCGATGCCTCGACTCTGCCCCACCGCAGCTGCACCAAGCCAGCGTGCAGGGCTCAGGCGTGCAGCAAGCAGAACCACAGCCACTTGTGCCAGTAATCTGACAGCCTGGCTTCTCCCTGTTTTTCCGCTTGCCCGTGGCTGTGCCCACCTAAAAGACTTCATGAAAGTCATGTTGTATGGACCTACCTAAAGGCTAAGTGATGCTCTAGCCCAGCCATGAATGCCCTATTCCCAGGCAGCGCTCCAGGCTTGGCTTCAGACCACGTGCCCAACTGTCCTCTACAATGCTTGCACCAACACTTCAGCACAAAATAAAATAAATTTCCAAAATAATTCCCCCTTTTCACTTACTAGCAAGAGGTTCCGGTGCTTGGATTACCTTGGGCAGAATGACATGAAGGAGCCCAAAAGCTCTTCTGCTTTCTCCAACTATCCCAATCTCACAAATGAAAGTACATCTCATTGCAAGATGTTCATCCTAATATACTCAGACCAATGCAGCTACAATGAAACTACTCCATGGTTATAATTGCATATAGTATTTTACAGTTCATTTCAACCCATTATGAGACCTGCAAAAAAAAAAAAAAAAAGGAAGATCTTTACCTGGAAAGACTCCATGAATATTCTAAATCATCATAATTCCCTTGCATTATTTTTAATTCAAGACAACCTATTTCAAATTTACAATAGCATTGACTAGGAATCCTCCTAGAACTGGTTAATTTTGCCCCAGCAAAGATGCAAAGACTTCTCAGGGCAAGCTATGCAATCACTTATGATTCTGTGATTAGACCCCTTTGTTAAGGCAAAAAAGAAACTTTATTTGTTTCCAAGCAAATTCAAAAATAGTTTTAAGAATTTTAATTAAGAAGGTAGAGTACCTTCTCATTAACAGATATTACTAGAATAATTTAACGTCAGATAGGTGTGTCACAGGAATACGAGGAAAAAAGTTTACTCCGGCTAACATTTCTCAACCTGTTTGTAACACTTTGCTTCACGTCTTTGTTGCATCTCCAGCTATCGTTTGCGTGAATTTGCCGTGCGCACCGGTCGCATCACACCCAGATACTAAACAAAATTATCACCTTCCCTCGGCACTTAATTCGATCATAAATTGCTGTCTGCAGCGAAGCGTTTCCCAGAAATGCCTTATTTTCAATTCCAGGCATTCTAAGGGGTACGCGAAGCCCAGCTGGACCACTGCCTTGCCTTCACGTGCATGAACCCCAAATTTTCCAGACCATCTGCCGCACGACCGAATTTGTCCTCGTCACCGTCTCGCGCAGTTCATGCTCCATCGATAAGGAAACCACCAACCCCATCCTGCTCCGCTTATCAGCGCACGAGCCGGCAAACACGGCTCCAACCGAATCGCCTACGAGAGCCGTAGCCATACCCACGAGAGGAAGAGACGAATGCTTACAAGAACGTTCCCGACAACGTCGGTGCCGTGCTTTGACAGATACGCCTTCCTCCTCCTCCCCTATCGGCACCGGTCATTGCTCAAGATCCAGCCCTGAGCTGGCGAGAGACCCTGGAAGAGGCGGCATCGCCACGACATTTTGCAGGAGGTCCTGAAACATAATTAAACGCTGTGGTGAAACCGAACCGTAAACAAGCTATGAATAAAAACCCCTTGAATTATTTTGCTAAACTATAATTACACAATAAGGAAGCAGATTAATTAAGTAAAATATAAGTCCTGAAACTGAAGCTTGCAAGCAAAGCAGTTTATTTTAATTTCCACATTATTTCGTATGAGATAGAAGTGTTTGCTGTGGGTTTAAAATGTTGGAAGCCATTCCTTGCTGCCAGGCAGACCAAACCCAGTGGATAAATTAAATTTTTGCATCTCAGGCACCTCCTGAAATGTATATAAGGAGAAGGGCTCTGCCTCAGAGAAGCTAAAGGAGATCTCCTTCTTTCACTCCCTGCTCCTCTCTTGCTCTTCTGCTTTGCCGTTACCGCTTCACCTCCCGTCCACCCCAGCCACCATGAGTCGACAGTGCTACACCTCCAGCTCTCTCCTGGGAAGACGGGGCTTTTCCTCCGCATCCGCCGTCTGCGGCCTCGGCAGGGGCAACAGCAGCTCAGCCTCCGTCTGCCAGCCGGTGGGACGGAGATGTGGAATCGGTGGCTTCAGCAGCCGGAGCGTCTGCGACCTGGGGAGAGGGCAAAGGATTTCCTTTGGTGGGAGCTGCCGCAGCGGGGTCTACGGTGGCGCCGGCGTCGGACGTTGCGGCGTGGCTTACGGCGGAGGACGCTTTGGCGTGGGCACTGTCGTGGGGTTTGGTAACTGCGGAAGCTATGGGGGCCTGGGCAGCTACAGAGGTCTTGGGGACGGCGTGGCTATCGGAGGCTATGGCGGCGGCATCGGCATCGGCCTCGGTGGAGGTAGATCCGAAGGGATTCGGGGCGTCAGCATCCACCCAGAGCTCCTCAAGCCTCTCTGCGTGGGGGTCGACCCCGAGGAGTGCCAAGTGCGGACCCACGAGAAAGAGCAGATCAAGAACCTCAACAACCAGTTCGCCTGCTTCATCGACAAGGTGAGACCCCGCTTCCCTCCAGGCTGGCTGTTTGTCTCGTTTCTCTAGGCTCCGATGGATGGATTGTCTCTGGGGAGACAACGTCGGGAGCTCTTTTTGCTGGCACCCGGGTCTCGCAATGGTCTCTGATAGACCATGGTGGTCCTGACCTGGAGACGTTGGATCTAAGCCTTGTACCAAGGCAACTGCACCGGTATTTTAGCTTTTTGATGGTCACCAGTCTGCTAAATAGCTAAATCAGGAGCGGCTCCAGGGATACAGTAAATCAAAACCTGTGAGAGAAGGGATGGACACACAGAAATGTAAAAAGGCAAAATAGGAACTTTTATTACAAATGTATAATCTGACATTGCTATCACACCTCTGTAAACTCCAAAGGACTTTTGCATTTCTAAAATCGTTTGTGTGCTTCATCAAGGAGATGTGGAAAGATAGCTGTCTAGCTAAAATGAAATGAATGATTTTAACTTCTCTGTCCCTCCACTCTGTCAATGAAATGATTTGGTGATTTCCTAAACAGATGTTATTTATCCTTGTTATCTTAGCTAAGCCTAAGGGTTTTCATTGCTGTTTAGGGATGTATTATAGGGAATGATTTTTCAAGCGGCAGAGAAACCTTTGCTCTGTCTGATCTTGATTTTCTTTGTGAGTTGTTCTGCAGCTGGAAAAACCAAACCCACGTAAGAGGAGCCACTCCGCTTCCTCCCATTTGAAAAATGACTTATTCATGATCCATAAAGGTTCTCAAGTACTAGAGAGCTCTTTAATCTAGAAGTGAAAGGCATGATAAATATCCGTGGTTAGAGTTTAAATCAGATACATTCAAATGAGATCCTGGATAGAGCTCTTAGTGCTGCGGAAGACTCGTTATTGTAATCAGCCCATCAGAGGAGGCAGAGGATCCTCCATCAGCGAGTTGTCGCAGGGGAAGAGCTGGTGCTTGGTTGAACTGTGCTTTGGTCAAAGAGACGATTGGCCTCAACACAGAGCAAACGCACCGATGTTGTTCAGCCTGTGATACGAGTCCTGGGTGGGACCAGGTTTAGCTCAGAGAAGATGCTGTTCTCACTCAGGCTGCCGAGAAATCAGCACTTAACCATTCGCATTTCTGATTTTATTTTTCATTTTTCCTTTTGGAAGGGGAGAAACCCAAAGCGCCTTTGCCTGGGACAAGAGGTGGTTGCATGACTCTCGCATCTCTTGCTTCCCCAGGTCCGGCTGCTGGAGCAGCAGAACAAGGTGTTGACCACCAAGTGGGAGCTGCTGCAGCAGTATGTCCTCCCAGCTTCCCGGAGAAACCTGGAGCCCGTTTTCGAGAACTTCATCTGCAACCTGAGGAAGCAGCTGGAGTGTGTGCTGGGGGAGCGAGAGAGGCTGGAGAACGAGGAGCGGTGCCTCAGGGACCTGGTTCAAGAGTACAAGTGCAAGTAAGTGTACGCAGAGAGAAGCTGCAGACTGGGGTGTTTGCTGGCCCGAGCGGCGTTTCTGAGCGTGAAGCCAATGCGATTGCACTGGTGGGTCCAAAAATTGGGGCAGAGGGAGGGGAGCAGGGCAGGGGACACCAGTACCAGGCTGGTTTCCTGTACTGGGGTCCCACTGCTGCACCTCAGATGCTGGCGATGGACTGGGAGAGCTCTTCAACCACAATTTTTCCTTAGGGAGAGGGACAGGGAACCACTTTTCCTCTCCCTAACACTCCTGTGCACCACCACGGTTTGCCATATCAAATCTCCCACATCATCTGCGCCTCTGGCTGTCCCCGGTGCCATCCATCCCCACAAAACCCCCAGCCTCTTTGTCTCCACCCCACGCTTTATCCACATCGTCTCTGCTGGGCTTCATCCTCTCTTCCCAGAGGGAATGTGGGAATTGTTCTTTTAATCGAAGCTGCAGATATTCCTTAATAGCTCCCCGTGTCCTCTGCTAAGCCACGAACCAGGCCACTTGGTGTTATACAGCACAGGAGAAAAGAGTGATCCTTTCTCCAGAGAACTTACAGTCTCAGATGTTTTTTCTCACTGAGCCACCACAGAGAGGTCAGACTCATAGAATCGTCTTGTGAAAGTTCTTCTAGGTGCCAGTTACTTGGTCATTACGCACTACTTTCCTTCCCTTTGCACCTGGGAGTTTCAAAGGTTGCTCAAGCTCCTGACCTCCCTTGGGGCATTTTGGCCACCATCTCCCCATAAACAGAGCAGAGTCCTGGATGCTTCAGAAAAACATCACACGAAGCAGCAGGGCTAGAAGAACCAACCCAAGCCTTCAGCTGAACTACACGGTTTTGCATTTCTAGTGGTTTGGCCTGATTTACTGCCACCTCACTCCAGCCACCGATACTGCTGGCGTGGACTATTTAAAACTGCTGAACAAAGCCCAGTGGGGAGGAAGGAAAGAGCAACAAAGCAAAAATCAAAAAGGAGGTACAAAGAGAATAGGGAGAGGCTCTGGTTTTAATCACCCATCCCATGTTCTGCACTGGTTGCTCGGGTGGTGGGGACAGGACTGCCGGGGCTCAGCATCCCACACCTCTCCTTTCCTCCTGCAGATATGAAGATGAGATCAACAAGCGCACGGCTGCGGAGAACGAGTTTGTGGTGCTCAAGAAGGTGAGTCACATCAGGGACAATGTCGGTGAGACCGACTGAGGCACGTGGGCAAAACCCGGGTGTGGGGTCAGGGAGAGAAGTGGGGAGTCTCAGCACCATGGCACTGAGCCCTCACCGGGTAACCTCCAACGAGAGGAGACCCAAGGAATTTGGAGAACCCCCACCGGGTTGTAAGCACATCCAACGCAAACCCAGATAGTCCTAAGGGATGGAAATGGTGAGGTTTCCTCCAAATCTAACAGAAAAAATGAGTTTTGCCACAGTCCCTGTTTCTTCACCTCTTTCCACCGAATACGTGGTGTCTCTCTCCAGGATGTGGACTGTCTCTACCTGACCAAGGAGGAGCTGGAGGTGAGAGTGGGCCTCCTGCGGCAGCAGCTGGAGTTCCTGAAGTGCATCTATGCCGAGGTAAGAGCTCCCGGCTCCCTGTCTGCTGCCCTGGGGATGACGCATCATCTGCTGCCCCCCCTGCCCCCAGCTCTTACACCAACACTAAATGCAGGGAAAGGTATCTTTTCTGAAAATCCTGAAATTGCATCCCAAAAATCTCTCTCTCTTTATTTGTATTTGGTAACAACACTGTCACAGACATGCTGGGAAGGCACGTTGTCTCCTGGTTGTCTCTCATTGCTGGCTGCAATGGGAGGGATCTTCTGCAAGAAAAAGCCCCTCAAATTCTCATCCAAACCATCCCTGGGAACTACTGAAACATCTCACTCTTCAAAACCCAAATATTTTTAGCACTTCACTTTTTAAGCTACACTAATCAAAATATTTTGGTGAAAGTAACGCTTCCGTCTAAAATGTAGTAAGTTCTTAACAAAATGCACAGGGGACACTTTTGTCTTCGCACCTTTTCCAGCCAAACGCCTCCCAGCAGGCTGTAGGCACCGGGGCCCAAAGCACCCACGCCCGAGGGATTCGCAGCCCAGAAAACTGCTGACGCAGCCAGAAACGCCGAGTTGCAACGAAGCGAGTTGCTCCACCAGGATTCCCCACCCTTCCTTAGGGAACTGCATGCAGCAATCCCATGTTATGCCACCAAAACAGGTCCCAGCTGCCAGCCCTTGCTGGAAACCAGTTACCCACCTGGAGAACCCCATGGTCTAGTTGGCCGTTAATGAGAGAACCCCCCCAATCCTCCACCTTCTCAGCAGACCCCCCCCCCTTTGCCAAGGGTGCCTGCACGCCTGGTTTGGGCTGGTTGAGGGAAGGGGACTGACACGTGATGGGTCTTGCAGGAGAGAGCTCAGCTGGATTGCCAACTGTGTGACACCTCTGTCATCGTGCAAATGGACAACAGCCGGGACCTGGACATGGAAGGCATCATCAAGAGTGTTGAGTGCTGCTATGAGGAGATTGCCCAGAAGAGCAAGGCTGAAGTGGAGGCCTTCTACCAAACCAGAGTGAGTATTGACACCACCAGCACAGATGGCAACGAAATCCCTTGGCCAACAAAACTCTGGGGACAATTTCTGTCCTCCTTGATGCAACTTAAACCCACCCCACAGTGTGAAAGCATTGCTGTCTGCTAAAGAAAGTCATGCCCACCCCCCCTTCAAAACTGTGGTTTAAGACTTTTCTGTAAAAACAGAGCTCAGCAGATCACAGTGTTGCTTCAGAGAGGTCTCCTCTGTGCATACCCATCAGGAACACCATCCCCTTCCTAAAGGGCAATGCTCAGGACCTACCCAGGACTGTTGCCTTGTCTGGGCTGAGGTCATGTCTGGGTGCTTCCCGGGAGCACCCACGGCAGTGCAGCTCCGGAGAGTCACCACCTTCCCTGGAAGGGGCGATTCGGGTGCGTTAACGTCATCCTCTTCCCGTTCAATAGCTGGAGGAGCTCCACAGCAGCAGGGGCAAGTTCTGCGATGACCTGAGAAACAACCAGAGCGAGATAGCCGAGCTGAACAGGATGATCCAGAAGCTGCAGTGTGAGTCGGACAACGTGAAGAAACAGGTAGGACGAAAGGTTGAATGGTCCATGGGCAGCGTGCAACTGTTGGGTGTGCAACTTCTCCAGCAAAGGGCTTTGTCCTCACCAGCTCCCACCCTGCTGAGCTGTAAAGACACACCCCCCCACCCAGCTTAAGCCTATATATTTGTAGCTTCTCAACTTAAGGCTGTCGATACAAAAAGAAGCAGATTTATTTCTCACTTAGCTAACAAGCAGAAGACAGTTGGTTTGGCTAGAACAGTGTTTGCCGCATGCTTCCTACCGGGGTGCAGCCAACAGGTCCCCTCCCCTTCATCCCCAGTAGACTTGGCCATTGCATGTGTCCAGCCTAAATCCAGAGTCTCTGGCAGTTCCTAGCTGAGAAACAAGGGGGTACACAAGGAACCTGTGAAGATGCCTCCTACTATCACCAGTGGCCACCCCTTTGCCCGTTACTGTCCACAGATCGCAGCTCTGCAGACGGCCATCTGCGACGCTGAGCAGCGGGGCGACTGTGCCCTCAAAGATGCCCGGCAGAAGCTGATTGACCTGCAAACTGCACTGCAGCAAGCCAAGGACAAGATGGCATGCTTGCTGAGAGACTACCAGGAGCTGCTGAACGTCAAGCTGGCCCTGGACATCGAGATTGCCACTTACAGGACACTGCTGGAAGGAGAAGAGAGCAGGTAGGAGCATCCCTAACGATAGTTGGCAAAACCCATCAGGAGGAGAGACAGGCAGTGAGAAATGCTGGGTGAAGGTGGTTCCCCATGGGTGCAGAGGGGAGCATCATCCCTGCTTCCTCCTCATCCTCCCAGGGCAGTCGGATCGCAGTGCACCGCGCAGGCTGCAGTCAGATGCCCTGCTTGCAGTACAAAAAGAGGATGGGATATTAAGATGTCTATGGGATTTGGGGATCCAACCCCGTTGTGCTTCGGTGGGCAATTTGGACCAGCACCTCACACCTGGGTGCACAGAAAAGCCAAAGTACCTGCAGGGCTGCCAAGAAGACAATGGCTGGGCAGCACCTCTATTTGCTTGTAGATTTGAGGAATATTTCCCTAAATACATCTTTGAGACATTTCTTTTCTTAACAGGATATGTACTGGCAACCCTGTGAGCGTAGGTAAGCTAACGAAGCATTCCCTTAATTTCCTTACAAGTCTTCTAAGCTTATAAGTTTCCTTATAAGCTGGGTTTTAGCTGCTTTGGGACTGACTGAGCCTGTTTTTCTCCCACAGCTGTGGTCAGCGGCGGTGGCACCGTCGGAGAGTGCCGATCCCTATCCGGAATTGGAGGCAAATGTGCCGTCAAGACAGGAGGGGCCGGTGCGGGGTTAGGGGTGGTCTCCTCCTTTGGTGTCGCCGGCACCGGCTTTAGCACCCGGAGCGTAGATTGCCTTCCCAGGGTGGGGGGTGGATTTGGGGCGAGGAGCGCGGTCAGCTGCGTGGGGCGAGAAGTGATCTCCGGTGCGGAGGGGGTGCAGTGCACCACCGGCATGGGCAACCTGGGGAACGTCGTGTGCGCTGGCGTGGAGCAGTGCAGCCCGGGAGCCGTCATCATTCCCGGGGCAGGGGTGTGCGGCACCGGGAGCAGGTACAGCACAGCCGTGCGCGTGGTCAGAACAACCCGGTAGAGACCGGGAAGCAACGACACATCATATTTTAAAATAATCAGCATTTCTGCAATAAAACAGTATTCCCCTTCCTTCCGACAGCTATAGGGATCACACAACCATGCGCTGCCCGTGCCCACACAATTAGGCTAGTCGCTCTACCGAAAACTCTTTGCATGATCAAAACCCACCTTCTCTTGCATGTGCTTCTTGGGGGAAACCTACTGCCGCGGTCTCAGCCAAGCGAGGTTTTCATTTCAGAGAGCCCATACCTGCCTCCACACAGCATCTTAAATCAGTCCTCTCTGCTTGACCCCTTTTCAGCAGGGATTTTCTTTCCCTGATGCAGCTGTTGCAAAAGCATGAAAAATTTGGTCATCCCAACTTCAGAAAGAGAAGCCGCATTTTAATTGTCCGAGATGGAGTTGCAGCTATTATTTAACTTCTTTAATGACACCAGAAAATCCAATTTTTCCTGTTTACGAGAGGGTTGGTAATGCTTATGTAAATTGGTCCAAGTTGCTACACCAGGTTTGGTAGAGCAGATTTTAATTACACACCGACGAGCACCTTATATTTCTGTAGTTAAATGCATGCGTTGTTTTTCCTGTGTGTGTACTAGATAGACGGATTTAACGCTTTTAATATGTAAGTGAACAGAGTTGATTATCCTTCGCTTACTCCAAACTTTCAGCTGTACCTTCAATAAACTACATGCATAATTCACGCTTTGCTTCACAGGTTTTGTTTCCCTCCCCGATATTACAAAAGCACAGATATTTTCTCAAACACGAATCTCCAAACGGGCAGGGTTGGTGGAGTTTTAACAAAGTTTTTTTGAGACTTTGTCTGCTCTCCTTCCTGATGCGCTTTTTGCATACCTTTATTCCATCTAGAGATTAGCGTGGCCACGAGGAAGTCTGGAAACGCAGGATATTTAACCGCTCGTGGGATGCGCAGCTCACTTGGGATCTCTCACATTGTTTGGGATCTCTGGAGGCAGAACAAAAAAGCCCTTGTTTAAAGAAATCAGTGAGAACCAGCTCTGGTAGTAACAAAAAGAAAATAATCCCAAACCCCACCCCTGAAACCCTCTCACGAGAGTACGCTGATTTTAGAAGAAAGCCAGAAAAAAGCGGAGCTTCCCAAAATGCAGCATCAGGCCCTTTCTTCCTCAAACACCCCACTTTCCTTAACGCACGTTAAGGGCAGAGTCTGTAGGATGCGCCTGGACATCCCCGCCAACATCCCTTGCAGGGAGGGGAAAAACCTTCTCCCATCGTTTTAGGAGACTGGGGTTCAGGTTTGATCAGGTTGCCCCCTCCCTCTTCTCTGCGAGGGTCCCCAGCTTCCACGGGACCGTGACCCACTGAAAGGTCTCTGTAACGCGGCTGGGAAGGGCTTGCCAAGGCAGCACTCATCACAGCTGGATGCACAGCTGGATGCAGGGAAAACCAGATGGTTCTGTTGGCTTCTTCCCTCCCACGGCTCGCCTGGGCGCAGCCGAAAGCCCCCGAGACAATTTCGTTCTGAATTGCCCTTTGGAGAAATGTGTCTCTCCTCACCCAGTCTGGAAGCAGCACAGGGTGTGGGCAGGTTCATCTATCCCATGAAAGGCACGCTGAGGACCGGGTGTCATAATTTATTCCCCCACTTTGCTTCCTAGACTTCACTGCTGACGCACGGCTTGTCTGCCCCAACCTCTCCACGGCTGGAGGATGAGTTCAACCACCCTACCGGGCTCAGTCTGTCCATGCTGGTGTGATGGTGGTGAACCCACCACTGGTTCCCACTGGTTGAACGTCCACCTCTGCTTCTCTCCCAGCACAGAGGCTATGCCGAGCTCCCCATGCCTGCGGTGCTTTTCTGATGGAAAGCAAGATGATTTATTGGATGTGATCAGCAGGTAGCAGATCACTAATTATTTTTTAATAAATCACATACCTTAGCAACACTGTCTAGGCTGGGGGGGGGTGCGTGTGTGTGAAAGCCAAATGAATCAGCCCTTGCTGAGAAGGCAAAACCCACCCACCTAAAAGAGGATGTTTTTTGAAAGGTTATCTTCATCTTTTCTGTCTCAATGCATACAATTCGGACTTCACCTCATTTGTATGTAAATAACAAGCAGAAACACCCAAACAAGAAGCTCCCATTGCCCAAACAGCTCATAATTTATGTTGATCACCTCCCTGCAGAACAATACCCGCACACCAATACCCAGCCGGCTCCCCAGGGTACCAAAGCAGCCCAGCAGCTCTTGCATTTCTGAGAGAACACCTTTAATCATCCCTGCCCTTCTCAACCCCCAAGTATTGCAAAACCCATGTTTTCTGCTGCCTACTTGAAAACATTTGTGTAGAACAGGCTAATTTGGAGAAAAAAGGCCAGGAGCAAGTTTTTCAGAGGCCAAATCCTGCTCAGTGTCACCCTGGACATGCCTCTTTGTAGATCTACAGAGTCTAGTAGGGTTGATCCAAACTGACAGATGCAAAAAGCCACATCTGCCTCTGGGTATGGAGCCCACAAACCTCATCCCCTCCACACAATAAACCACCCTGGTAAAGAAAAAGCACATTTTTCACCCAGCCTTTGCATCCCTTGCATACCTTGTGGACAGTGGGCTGAAGGAAGAAGAGTGTGGGAGCCTAAAACGACAATTCCCTCTTTCTTCTTGGCCGCCCCACCTTTAATCCCATTATATTCATTCAGCTCTAATATCTGATCCGAACCCGTTTGTCAGCTTCAGGACAATCTGCCTTTACTGGGGTCAAGAAAGCATGAAGACAATCTCATTTTCCCATCGCACCCAGGTTTTGAATTTTATGCAAATAATCAAGGCAATAGATGTTCATGAATTTCAAGTGACATCCCAGGCAGATTCAGACCAACATTTTCCAAAGAGAAGCAAGCCGACCTGCACCAACCGGGAATTTCACACTGCAATGGGAAATTCTATTTGAGTGACCCAACTCTCGCAGTTTGAGCCTGCCCGGCAGCATTTCTCTAAGGATAATCACATATTTGGTCTTCTGTATTTGGTAGAACATGAAGCACCTGCTTAATTTTTTCTTCCAGAGATGCCAGTGGGATTTTAGCTTGTACTTAATGGTTTTGTAGCACTGGGGCACATGACTATGTTTTGAAGGGCGTGCAGAGTCCTGTCCTGCAAATATGGTTAAGCTCCAGTCATGCACATAGCACGGGCAATGCCACCAAGACAGCAACATGCTGAAAAAGAACTGAGCTCTTAAATACAAAGAATAAAATACTCTAGACGTTGCAGTTCCACAAAGTCTGTGATGCCAGAAAATGTCACCACACCCTATTGAATTTGCTCTTTTTCCCAAGGACTCCAGGAAGTAAAATAACAAGATTTTGTGGGAGTATTTTTCATGCTGGTTAAGTCTTTGCTTTTGGCAACAATTTGAACGGAAAGGTTCAAAGGTCTGTAAAAGAAATCATAGCTGTAAAGAGCTAGAAACCCCAGATCGGTTACATCTTAATGTTAGCATGCAAATAATACAGTTCCGCAAAGCCGGGCAAAGTGTTTTTCAGAAAATCTGCCTCTTTCGTTGAAAATGCTTCTTAGATCAAGATGAAAATAAATTGATCACACCATCAGCTGGCTGGAAACGTTGCAACGGCAACCTCCGGGTGGGACGGAGTTGTCCTCTGGAGGTGCCAAGATCGCTAGAAAGGAAGCCTAGGAAACCTGTTGTAGACTAAATAACTAACACTAAATGGCCAAAATTTGAAGTGACATTTAAATACAGTGTCTCAGAGGAAAACCATGGATCAGAACCTCTTTGCACTAGGCACTGAGTCAGCTCAAAAAGATGGTCTCTGCCTGACTAGTGTGAACAGGCAGACTGGATAAATTATAGCCATGAAAGAGATGTCAGGCTACATGAACGTCACACCCATGTGTTCCCTTCAGGCGAGGAAGCCCCGTGAAAATTTTATGTTCAGATTTAGCCATTTTAGTCTCAATGCCTTTCACTCAAGTCAATCCAGAGGACCCTCCACTAAGCTCTGCACTGATCTACTGCATCTTATTAGTAGCACAGGGGTACCTGGATAGCCATGTCCCTTTTTCACTCCTTTTTGTTTCTTTTCTTTTGCTTCACAGCAAGGAAATAAAATAACACATCTCCGCGAGCAAGCAGAAGCTTTGCACTAAGGCTGAGCTCTCCCTGCCAAAAACCAGGGAGTTAGATAACTCTTCTAGCTGAGCAGATTCACACCGGCTCTGATAGGTGTGTTTGAGTGCAATCAGTGTTTAACAAATTTCAATAAGACAGCTGGCTGCCTGGCACGTCAAAACCATGAAGGCACTAAATTGATCGCTGGACTTCCACACAACCAAGCCCAGATCCCCAGAGGGATAAAAAGGGCATCCCGCACTCCCTTCCATCGGAGAGCTGCACTCTCTCAGCCTGCTGCTTCTCGCTGGTGCTGGGCTGTTATCTCCTGCCGCAATGAACCGGCAAACTTACAGCATGAGAGCGGGAGGTGGAGGCAGGTCTTACAGCACTGCCTCAGCTGTTATTCCAAGTGGCAACAGGGCTGGCTTTAGTTCGATGTCCGTGGCACGATCTGGAGGAGGTGGAGGTGGTTTTGGAAGGCTCATTGGAGGAGGAGGAGGTGGTGGTGGAGGTTTTGGCAGCAGGAGCCTCTACAGCCTTGGCGGTAGCAAGAGGATATCCATTGGTGTTGGAAGCAGCTTCCGAGCTGCTTTTGGGAGCGGAGCTGGTGGTGGCTCTGGCCTGGGAGGTTGTGGTGGTGGTGGCTGTGGACTTGGTGGTGGCGGAGCTGGTGGCAGTCTTGGACTTGGTCTCGGTGGTGGAGGTGGTGGATATGGGTTTGGTGGAGGTGCTGGCGGGCTTGGCTTTGGTGGTGGACATGGAGGTGGTGGAGGGTTTGGCTTTGGTGGAGTAGGGGGGCTGGGAGGATTCAGTGGAGGGCTGGGTGGCAGCAGGAACCCAGCGGGATTTGGTGGTGGCCCACCTGGAGTCGGTACAATCCAAGAAGTGACGGTCAACCAGAGTCTCCTGGCACCACTGAACCTGGAGATAGATCCAAACATCCAGCAGGTGCGAAAAGATGAGAAGGAGCAAATCAAGACCCTCAACAACAAGTTTGCTTCTTTCATTGACAAGGTGAGACTTCATCGAGTGCTGCAGAATCGTGATAGAGAGGGAGCGAGACAGTTTTGTAGCTACACAAATACGACTTCATAGAATACACTCTATTGCATATTTCCTACCTGCATGTCTTCATTAAAGTAATCAAAAAAGAACATTCTTCTAAACAGTTACAAGGCAGAAAACTAGACTAGAAACTAGTAATAAGAGGATTAGATCCAAGTTTTGTGCCTGAGAAATACAAATATATTAGCTCAAATGGAGCAAACCAGTTTCAGGTCCAGATGTAGCTGCTTAACCCAGCTCTCTCTGTGGGGAATCACAGCAGACATGTTAGTCCTTATTGCTTTATTGCCTGCAAGCTAAAGTCCTTTTAATATTGACTCAACTTAAGTCCTTCCTTGGCTTTTACTTGAGTAAATATGTAGTATATATGAGCAAGAGGAAAGGCAATTAAGTACTTGTCTTTTAACCTGTAGTACTCAGATCTCAGCTTTAAAGAAGGAAGATAAATATCTCTTACAAAGAAAGAAAAACCAAAGGATGTTCAAGAAAGCAAGTGATCAAAGAGCTGAAGTCACATTTTCTAATGATTGCTCATTGGCTTGCTAAATTAAATCGTCTCTAAAGAGAACTGTCCACTCAGGACAGATTTGCTTAGCTACTGGATGGGCTAACGTAGCCCTGGATAACCTGGAGGATATTCACAGCTGGATTTAATACCCTGGATTTGCGATTTCCTTGGTTTGTGCTATGCATCAGTCCCAGTTCCTGATTATTGGCCAACAGCACACTCACAGGTATCTACTGCTAAGACTCTTCTGCTTCCCAACACTCAGGTTCGCTTCCTGGAGCAGCAGAACAAGGTGCTTGAGACCAAATGGACCCTCCTGCAGGACCAGGGTCAAAAAACCAACTCAGGTAAAAACAACCTGGACCCACTCTTTGAGGCTTACATCAACAACTTGAAACGGCAGCTGGCCAACCTGCTTAATGAGAGAGGACGCATGGATGGGGAGCTGAAGAACATGCAAGACCTCGTTGAGGATTTCAAGAACAAGTGAGTGCCTGTTAGCAGCACATCCAGGCACCCTGGGGTGAAATGGGATGCAAATGGTTCAGCTTAGCATGAGGTAGGAGGATTAACCTCACAAATTTAGCTTTCTTAAGGTCAAATATCTAGCCTGAGATATTCATCAAATGTTCTACAGAAAAGGGAAAAGAAAGTATCTCCAGTCTGTGCTCTAGCCATAACATGGTACCTATCCAATCTCCCTCTAATATACTGCTCCTATGAGGCATCACTCCCTGCAGAACCCCAGCCTTCCTCAACAGCAGCAGAAAGGTGGCCCATCGACACTTTCCCAATCAGAAAATGCAGGTTCAGCCAGGAGACAACATGTGATGACACTTGCCAAGGAAAAGCATCTAAACCAGGTTTACCTTCCTTGTTCCATCTGTGTTATGTCAAAATGTCATTTCAACCCTTTGAGAAATGGGATTCTCACAAATTTGAGCTGGGCAGTTTCTAGGAGGTTGATTTGGAAACACCATACTCAGCCCAGACAACCTTGCAGTCCTACCTGTACAACTTCTCTGCTTACCGAGGTATGATCCAGCACGTCTTTCCCTTTATCCCTGCAGATACGAAGAGGAAATCAACCGACGCGCAGCAGCGGAGAATGAATTTGTGGTGTTGAAGAAGGTGGGTGAGACAGGAGGTGCTACGGATGCTGAGCTAACCATAACCATTGCACAGGCTGGGAATGTCCTAAAGGATGGGAGATCTCATGGAGCTGCATCCTCATCCTTTAAAAGCTGTCATTTGGATTGTGGTTTTGGGGGAAAGGAAGGGAGGGGCTTGGAGAATGGAAGTAAGGTCTTGTCCTGCTCCTGTCCTACAACATACATGCACACTTGTCTGGGCAAAGCAGGCTGTGTAGAAACAAAGATGGTCAGTAGCGCTGGGAACCCCAGATACCAAGGCCAAATGGCCTGCACCCCCTCCTTATCCACTAACGAAGTTACACACAGCACTTCTTTTGGCCAAGAGATGTCCTCTGGGTGCTCTGCCAGGGGGATGTGCCCAGCACAGCTTCTCCGGGCAGGCAGCACCACTGTGGCAGTGAAAGGGGCAGCCTCATCTCCAGGCTTGGCCAGTTCCTGGCTGAGCTAAAGAAGAGGCACCATGTTCTGCAGATGTTCCCATGGCTGCTCTCTTCCAGGATGTGGATGCTGCTTACATGACTAAGGTGGAGCTGGAGGCCAAGGTGGATGCCCTGACTGATGAACTCAGCTTCCTCCGAGCCCTCTATGATGCGGTACAGTCACTCTCCTCCCCAACTTCTGTCCTGGTGTCACCTCCTGGACAGTGACTGCCACGATTTGTGGCATTTGAAAAGGTGAGTGCAGCTGGTGGGATCCCGTGTGCTTCCTTGCAGGAGCTGGCTCAGGTCAGCGCACAAGTGTCCAACACCGCTGTCATTCTGTCAATGGACAACAACCGGGACCTGGACCTCAGCAGCATCATAGCTGAAGTCAAAGCTCAGTACGAAGACATTGCTAACAGGAGCCGGGCTGAAGCGGAGGCTTGGTACCAAACCAAGGTGAACAGACCCATAGATGCCATGGATGCATTTCTGGGGAAAATTACTGCTGTCTCTGTACGAGGCTGTTTGAGCCACATCTTGTCCACCCAGACATCTCAGATGGTTAACTCTTCCTTCTGAACCTCAGTTCGAGGAGCTGCAGGCCACGGCGGGGAAGCATGGGGACGACCTGCGCAACACAAAGGGGGAAATCTCTGAGCTCAACCGGCTGATCCAGAGGATCCGGTCAGAGATAGAGAACATGAGGAATCAGGTAGGAATGGCAAAGGAGTCCACAGAGACCACCCATTCTGTGGTCCCTTAGCCCCGCAGCTCTGCTTTGCTGATCAGGGACTTCAGCAGCCACAGAGCGTGACGTACCTCATTAAACATGTTGAATTCCCTCCTGAAAAGGGTACCACGCTGTACCACGTATTAAATCATTCTCACCAGTCTGGCATTTCATCTCCAGCAATGTTAGCTATGGGCAAATGACCTCAGTCATAACTGTTGTTCATTAACGCACAAGTCAGAATGGTTTTCTTTCTCGAGTGACTCTTAATGAAAAAGAAAAGCAGCATTTAAGAGTCCCAATCCTTCCCCTTGCAGTGCGTTACCCTGCAGACAGCCATCGGAGACTCCGAGGAGCGTGGGGAGATGGCCCTCAAAGATGCCAAGGCAAAGATGATTGACCTGGAAGATGCTCTGCAGAAAGCCAAAGCTGACATGGCCCGGCAGCTCCGCGAGTACCAGGAGCTCATGAACGTCAAGCTGGCCCTGGACATTGAGATCGCGACCTACAGGAAGCTGCTGGAGGGAGAGGAGAGCAGGTGGGAGCAAAATCCCTACGGGAGTAATAGCAACTATTGCTTTGCCCCTGCCAGCAGTTGGTCCCTGCTTGTCTCCTTCGTTTTGCTCTAACCTCCCCTTTATCCGCACTCCAACAGGCTGAGCGGAGAGGGACTCAACCCCATCAGCTACTGTAAGTATCGCAGTGCTTGTCTTGCTTTGGGGCCGTTGGGAGCAGAGGATGTGAGCAACTTGGGGAAAGGGAGGTTTTGCCCAATATAAGATATTCAGAGCCCTCCACCAGCATTAGTGGCTTGCACAGGGGACAGAAGTTGGGTGTAAGTCCTGTGGGTCAAGGTCCTGATGGTGGTGCTTTCTGGAACTGGGTGACTTCCAAGCAGATGTCCAACCCTCTGGTTGCTTTTTATTGCAGCTGTCGTCAGCTCCAGCTCTGGCATGGCTGGTGGAGCTGGGTTAGGAGGAGGATTTGGTGGACTGAGCCTAAGCGGAGGAGGTGGCGGAAGCGGTTTTGGTCTTGGAGGAGGCGGCGGAAGCAGTTTTGGTCTTGGAGGAGGTGGTGGAAGCGGTTTTGGTCTTGGAGGAGGCGGCGGTGGAAGCGGTTTTGGTCTTGGAGGCGGCGGTGGTGGCAGTGATTTTGGCCTTGGAGGCGGCGGCAGTGGAGGCTACAGTTTTGGAAGCGGAGGAGGACTTGGACTCGGGGGTGGTGGTGGTGGTCTTGGAGGTGGATTTGGAGGAGGCAGTGGTCTCGGCATTGGAAGTGGTCTTGGCTACGGAGGAGGTGGCGGCAGCAGTCTGAGCACCAGCGGAGGGAATTTCAGCTCTGGAAGTGCAAAAGGCACCAACCCGGGTGTGAAAATCGTCTCCAAAACCTCCTCCAGCAAAAAGAGCATAAAAAGCCAAAGCCTGAAGAATGCTACACAGCCCGAGTAAAACCAACACCAGGCCCTGCCCCAAACCATCGCTCCCACACTGCTCCTGCATTACTCCTGTACCGCTCCTGTGCACCACCATCCCCTCCACCCACCTCTGTCCCAGCTCTTCGCACCATAGTTCTTAAGCATTTGGATCAGAGTTCCAAGAAAAGCAGCGGAGCACATGTTAACCAGATTTCTCAAAGTACCTGAAACAGGATTAAAAGGAAAACACAAGCCTAAGTGATTTTCTGAATGGGGAATTGGGGTTTTTTTGGTTTTTTTGTTGTTGTTTATTTGCTTTTAATGAGGCTGAGCACCTTGTTTGTAATTGTGGCTAGCTGACAGCCATCAGATAGATCAAATAGCAGTGACAACGCAATAACTTGGGGTTTTAGCTGAGTTCTGGCCCAGGGATGGGCTGGGAACTTGGTTTCAGTTCAGCTGGCCTTGTCTTACTGCTGGGATGAACCAAACTCACTCCTTCAAGTTAAGCAACTCATCTTTGTCAGAGACGTGGGTTATTTTTCTGCTATGTAGAAATACCCCAGGAGGTTGCTGAAAGATCCCAGGCAGTGGTTTGCAAGCATGGGACCCCTCTTAAAATATCCCTTATTAGAGGAGTCACTTCGCAGTCAGTCGAGTGCGATGGAAAAACCCCTCTTTTCCCCATTCACAGCTGAGCTTTGAGAAACACGGCTCTTCCAGATGTGCTGAGCACTGCAGCTGTGTGACGTCAGGCACGCGAGCCTGGCCAGTGGTTCCGAGCGCTGTATTAGGAAATCGGTCTGAGATACCTCCATCTGAAAATTGCCACCCACAGGGATGCAGACTCAACTAGCAATGGGTTCATCTAAAAGGAAGCCCAAACAACTCTCCCATTCCTGTCCTTTCTCTTCTTAAATGAAAGTTTGCCCACAGTGGCACCTTACGTGTAACCTCATGGGTGTATTTTGTTAGAGGAGCCATCTGTGACTGATCCAAAGCATATGGAAATTCTAAATTATAGGATTTTTTAATTCTAAATAATAACTGAGGCAGAGAGTTCTTCAAAAGCAAGATGGGTATTTGCAGTTAAATTGGGTTGCTGTCCTGTCTCATGCTAGGCTTTGTTGGAACGGCTTAAAAAAAAAAGCCCAAATCATCCAACAGTCCAAGTCTTGCTGACTTTCCCCACTGTCTGGGTAGCAGCAGTCGAGGTGAAAGTCTGAGACGGTAAAAATTACACTGAAAAAAACCTGCCTGAAGGGCCACGTCCACGCTGCTGGGGGTATTTCAGCACCTCCACTACGTGTGGGTTTCTCTGCCAAAAGACAGACATTTGGTAAAGTGAGAAGCGCAGTCGGGTTTCAGCCCAGCGCATGGGAAATGAGGCAATTGGGAGCAGGAGCCCAAAGGCACCCCAGTGCCCCAGATCTACTTTCCCCCTTTCTGATGGAATTTACCCCTCTAGCCTTCCCCTATGTCTTTTTATTTTTGTGAACATATCATTAAAAAAGAAAATTGCAGCTTTTTATACTTCAATGATAGTGATATGACGCTGTGTTTTCCTTTCTCTCTCTTTTTGGAACGTGCCCAATAAAACTGGATTGTAATTTATTTGGTCCTACATCTTTTTCCTCTAAAGCAGAACCAGTAGCAGGAAATATCCCCAACCTTCAGCAGAGTGAGCTGGAGGAGGCTTTTGCTTTACTTTGGGGGAAAAGTTTCAAAATTCTGATAAAATGATAATGAAAAGCTTGAAATCAGTTGTCCCACACCAAATTGAAGAATCGGAGAAAAGAGGAGGAGGAGGGTGGTGATTTATCCATTAAGTGACAAAAAAAGTAACCAATCACAGTTCATTTCTTAACATACGATTGGGGTTAATTCAAAAACCTTTCTTCCATGGAAGGGAGGGTATTGCACACTCTGCTAGCTTGGGAAAAAAAAGCCCAAAACAGTATTTAGTTTTTGCTTTCTTAAAAAGACATAGCAAACCCAAGCGTATACAGGGCTCTCGGGGAGGATTTTATCGGGATGATCTAGATTGAGGATGGGTTTCGGTGAGCTGGAGCAGAGCAACTCACCAACCGATGCAGGTATTTTGGTCATTGCAAAAGGGGAAAAAAAAAAAAAAGAAAAAAGAGGGGAAAAAAACCCCCCCAATCACCCTCAGACAAACACTCACACCTTATTGCATTTCAAAGAGTCAGACGCTTTGCTCTTCCCTGACCTCTCAACATCCCGGCTTTACATAACTCAGCGCAGCAAATGGGAAAGAGCAAGCAAGCACACGCCAGCCCAGCAGGTTTACAGCTGCTCACAACCGCTTCAGCAAAACCTCACTGAAACCCAGATGCACCGAAACACGGGAGCATCAAATCTCCCTTCACCCAGAAAATCAAAGGAGCCGCAGCAAGACAGACCAAAGTCCTGGGACAAACCCCCAACTCCTCGGTCCCTGATGTCGCAGAGGATGTTGCAAACAGGCCAAAAAATTAGTGAAGGTTAAAAATAAACCCTGAGTCACCTGGATTTCTGTACTCGCCTGTGCGGACGCTGAATTACACAGCACGAGTGTGAGGAATTAATACGGGTAATAACAACCTCACCTTAACTAACCTTAAAAGTTTTGAATGTCTATCTTTCAGCCTGCACTGAAAAAAAAAAAAAGCAAATAACAGAGCCCAAAAGTGGTGCTCACAGGCAGCTGAGCTCCTGCAAACATCTCAGCTGGCCCCGTTCCTCCTCCCTTTGCTCTGCATCCCCAGCCCAGCCACCACCCCCAGCAGTGCCCCCACCCTCCAGGCAACCCCTCTGCAAACTGGCATCCTCTCTGCAGGCAACCTTCCCGTCTGAGGGGGCAAACGCAGCCCTGAGCAGCTTCAGGAGGACAGTGCATGTGAGCGACACAAGCCAAGCAAGGAAACTGTGTGGGACGGAGAGATTCTGCAAGAATTTTCCTTGTTTTGGTGCCTAAACCATCATTTGCTTTACTCTTCCAAATCCTTTGTAATATTCCACTTAATTACCGTTGTCTGCAGCAACAGGCTTTCCTAGAAGAGCTGGGGAGGTAATGACTGCCTTCAACATGAATCCTTTCTCTTTGCTTTAATTAAAACATTTGCTGCCTGTGCTCTGGTTCCCAGGTGTGACTTTGCATAGCTCTTTGGAAGTCAAAGGCAGGTTCCTTGCCTGGCCCCCATCCACAGGCTTAGGAAAGCAAATCTCCGTACAACTGCCGTGCTTGTAAAAGAATTTATTTGTTTTTGACATCAGCATAACCCCAGTGGTGTTATTATTGAGGTTACCGGCCGCTGTGCATCACCTGTGAAACGGGGGGTTCGGTTGCTTCTGGACGTGCGAGCGTGGGTGCAGTTTTCCCTGCGAAATTCTGCGTTTCCAGCACCCAGGAGGTTCCCACGTCTCCACTCCCAAGGTGAGAGCACCCCCTTGCTACCGCCCAGCTGTCTCCCTTGCAGCGGGAGGGTGCCTTGCAACAGCCCATCCAACGATCGGCTTCCCGATAGCTCGCCGAAGGCACTGCGGGTGCTGGTGACTCACGCTATTGGCAATGAGCAGGGACAGGAGTGCTTGCAGGAGATGATAGTTGTGAGTGCTGGCTTTTGCTGATTGCAATGAGAAGAAAAAAAAAAAAAGAAAAAAAAACACCCAGAACACAAAACAAACAAAAACCCTCTCCTGCTCAGGTTCTTTCAAGTTCCCAGACAGAGAAAACGGCGGTTGGAAGCACATCAACAGAAACAAGCTACGAGATGCAGCAGATACCCTTAAGCCGCTCATTTTGGATTAAGTTCCTGTACTTACTGCTCACGTAGCCGATTTCGAGAACCTTTTTGATTTAGCTGCTTGGGGTTTCATCTCTCTGCCTCCCACTATTAGTTTATCTGACACGTAACCTGGCCGAAGCGGGCAGCCCTCGCAGCACAAGGACGCAGCTGGGCAGAATCCAGTTTGCAGACGTATTTTGGGTGGGAGGAAGGGGATGTTTTCTCTTGTAACCTGTGTCCACCTCTTCACGGACACAAGAGAAGAGGTCCTCCGCTCTCCTGCCTTTACACCGTCCTAAAGCACGACCCATGCTCATCATGGGGACGGAACCTTCTGGGCGAGGGTTCTCCTGAAAGCCCACGATCAAGGGGAAAAGGCAATTTTACAAAAATTTTCCAGCGGAATGATCTCAGCAGAGGGAAGGAGGGGGTGGGAGGGAGCTGGAAGGAAAACGGGTGAATTCCCCTTCACAGAATGTCTCGGAGAGCCAACAGTGACGTGGAAACTGTTGGTTAAATACAGGAGGGTGGAAAAAAAGTGATAAAAATACCACTTCACAGGGAGCTTTTGAACCCTGAGCCTGACGAGGAGATTCAAAAGAAGAGCAATCATTTCAAGCATCTTTTTAATAACTATTTTATAAGTCTCGTAGCACTATTTAATGTAATTTGAAGTTATTTTGGAAAAGGGATTGCCTTGTCCTTTTTGAAAGCCATGCTAACTAATTTCTCAGTTTCCCCTGCAATGAGGGAGACAATTTTTTGGGGTAAGATGCCGGAAAATCCTACCGCAAGACAACTTCCACTCAGCTCATCTCTGCAAGCCCCTGATCATTTAGATCCCTTTTCTGAAAGAAATCAAAAGAGCTGTGCTAATAAATAAAACCACCTTCAGCCTCAACTTTCCCAAGCCGACAACAGGACAAGCATGTCCAGTCCCAGAGCTGTCAGCCTTGGAAAAAACCCCTATTTATTCTGCCCCGTTTGCTGTGTGCCACGTTAAACCCTAAAGTTCACCTTGCAAAAGCTTCAGCGCAAGGAATCTTACTCAAACGAGTGAGCCATTGGCTCATGGAAGGAAAACCGTCTCCCAGGGTCTTGGGAGAATCGTGTTGCATCCTGCTCCTGAGCGCAGACCTCAGTGAGTCGTCCCATTCAATTCTAATTTCATGACTCAGAGCGGCAGGCTTTGGTAGAGGGGGGAGCTCCCTCACTCCGTTACTTTCTTGCCTGCAAACAATGCATTTTTTCAGCGTCTCGCTGTAGCCTAGGTGTGTTTGACAAGGCAAGTTGCTGCAAGGCACGTCAAGTTCTGAATTCTCGTGCCAAGTTTTCCAAGCAGATAAAAGAGGAGGCTCCCAAGCTCTCCCATCACAGGGGTTTCTGTCTCCATTGCCCTCTGCTCTTTTCCTGCAGCGCAGCTTTTATTCACCAGCCTTTTTTTTTTCCCCCCTCTCCTGCTCTTTGCATTTCCAATTGAACAAGCCACCATGAGTCGGATCTCTTTCAGATCATCTACCGGAGGGGGCATGAGGGGCTTTAGCTCAGGCTCTGCTATCGTAGGAGGTGGCAGTGGTACCAGAAGCAGTTTCAGCTCCGTCTCTGTCTCCAGAGTTGGAGGAGGAAGAGCCGGAGGTGGAGGAGGCTTCGGAGCTGGTGGTGGCTTCGGCAGCAGAAGTCTCTATAACCTAGGTGGAAGCAAGAGAATTTCCTACAGCTCGGTCGGTGGAGGTCTACGGAGTGGAGCCGGTGGTGGATACGGCTTTGGTGGAGGAGCTGGCTTTGGTCTTGGCTATGGTGGTGGAGCAGGCGCTGGTTTTGGCTTAGGAGGAGCTGGTGGTGGTGGCGGCTATGGGCTGGGCAGTGGATTTGGGCTGGGAGGTCCTGGATTTGGTGGTCGAGGTGGCCCTGGGTTCCCTGTTTGCCCACCTGGTGGCATCCACGAAGTGACCGTCAACCAGAGCCTCCTGGCACCCCTCAAGCTGGATATCGACCCGGAAATCCAGAAGGTGCGAACACAGGAACGGGAGCAGATCAAGACCCTCAACAACAAATTTGCCTCCTTCATCGACAAGGTGAGAGTTTGGTCTTAAACATCAACCCATGCATATTATCAGTTGCCTCGGGAAAGAACAACAGGAAGAAACTTCCTTTGGATTTAGGGGCTTGCCTGAACTAATCCCAGCCAACAACCAGTGTGGGTTTGGCTGAAAACTAAGAACTGTCTTATATTTCCTCTTTGGAAGGATGAGTTTTTCAGTGCGTTATTTTTTTGAAAATGTAAATCCCCCTCCTTCCCGTAAAAAAAATCCCAGGGGCCGCTTGGCTCTTCTACTGGTTGTAAAATGGCAAAGCTCTACACAACTCAATGGCGTAACACCAGTTTAAACCAGTAAGGTGGGCTGAGCATCTAGTGGGGGGAGAAAACCCTAAAGTTGCAAATACAGGTGTCTCGCCTGCTTAATAGGTCTTGAAAAATGTCACTAAACATCTCAGCTGCTTTTGATACTTTCGAGAATCTGGTGCCCTAAATTAGGAAGATCCTAATAATTCCCCCCCCACACCTTCCCAGCATCTCTTCACCTTTTCTCTCTGTGTTGAACGATCCCTCCTTTTCCTGGCAGCAGGGGTTTTTTTTTGTTTGTGCATTGTTCACACGGGCTTCAGCATGTGCTTGTTTTTGTTTCCCCAGGTGCGCTTCCTGGAGCAGCAGAACAAAGTGCTGGAGACCAAGTGGAGCCTCCTGCAAGAGCAAGGTCACACAGTCACCAGAAAGTCCCTTGAACCCCTTTTTGAAGCCTACATCAACAACCTCAGACGGCAGCTAGACAGTCTCATGGGAGAGAGGGGAAGGTTGGACTCTGAACTGAGGAACATGCAGGACATGGTGGAAGACTTTAAGAACAAGTAAGAAATCGTGCTCTGTAGTGTAGATGATTAATAGACGGGAAAATCAGGGCAGGCGGTTCGTGCTTGGTGCACACCTTGTGTTTGCACTGGGTTCCTCTTCCAGTCTGCAAAATGACCATAGAAAAGGCAAAACTTGATCTCAGAATCAAGCTCTAGCTATGTCAGATTTCTTACGTTCAGGATCAGCGTTTAGCTGGGAAGCTGCTCCGGTGTAATGGAGGTCACGGTCTGATCCCTTGAGTCTCCCAAAAATAATACACCTGGAGAAAAGCTGGAAAAAAGCGTAACTCATGAGTGTAATGGACACGCAAAAAGGGAATGAACCATAGCCATAAACTGCCAGGTCCCAAAACCCCCCACTTCTCTTCTTGCAAAGAAAATCCCAGCCTTTCCAGAGGGCCCCAGGCGACCTGCGCGCCCTCAACCTCGCTCAGCTCCAAGCATGTGAAAGATGCTCAGCTCTTTTCTCTGACCATTGTCAAATAAAACAATTTCCCTGGGGAGTCAATTAATCCCAGCCTGAGATAAGCAGAGGTGGGATGAATCATTCTAAGGACATGCCAGTCGGCATCTGATGACTATAAGGGACATTTAGGGGGTTTTTTTTAGGCAAGGCTGTTCATTTTCAGTTGGCTGAAGTCTGATGAGAACAATCTCTCCTTTATTCAACCAGATCTGGCCAAGTGCAAATTTAAGAAAAACACCCTGGAGGCGTGAAATACATTTATATTAGATAGTTAAGCCTGTGAACAGATAGATTTTTTTTTTTTTTTTTTTTTGGGGGGGGGGGGGGGGGGAGAGGGATGGACAGGGAGTCAGCAGTTAGAGCTGACAGGACAGACTGACATGACTTGGCTTCTGCTATGTTGTACTTGGGTGCATTTCAGGTCTCGAGATGTATTACAGGCTTTAAGAAATACCGATCAGGACAAAAATGACCAATGATATTGTCTGGATTTTGGAGCTACTGCTTGGGAAAGAGAACATATTTTATTTTAAGCCTAGAGCTGCTTCCCAGTCCACTGGCTGATTTCCACTTCTTCCCATGCCCGCTCAGAGATCCGTCCGCAGGGACACCTCTGCCAATATCGGGTAGAGGACTGGCACGAACCTGCCTTTAAAAGCCAGGTCTTTGCCTCAAGAGCCTACATGTTTTGTCTACTTTCTAGCTAAGTCCTGCCCTGATTATCTGATGAGAGGATGTTGCTCAGAGCCATAAAAAGTTCCACAGAAACATAGTCTGAGGCATAATGATCTGCTCTTGCACAACCCTGGCTAAAGAATCCCAGCCTTTTTTTTTTTTTTTTTTAATTAAATGCTGCAGCGGCTTATTCAGAGCCATTAGCATTATTATAATATCAAATATCAAATTGTTACATTATTATATATTTGTAGACATTGCATTGCAGCTTCTTTGGAAATCTTTTGCATAACTTTGCTTTGGGCAAAGGTCACCAAGAATACCTGCTCCTGCTTCCTACTGAAACGGGCTCTGATCCTACACACTTATGTATGAGCTTGACTTTAAGGGCAGTGATTAAAATCTATTAATTTTAGCTGGGACTACTCACACCATGGAGTCTTTGCAGGTTCAGAGTCAGTAATCATTTGCTCTGCATCTGCTCTGGGCTGAAAACAGGTGGGAATAAGGAAAATATCCGTGAGCTACAACTAATGATTTGGAAGTGGAATGGTCCCTTCTCTGCTTCCCATGCTTGCTTCCTTCTTCATTACCACCAAAACCCTCTCACTCTTTTATCCTAACAGATATGAAGATGAGATCAACCGGCGCACTGGTGCAGAGAACGAGTTCGTGGTCCTCAAGAAGGTGAGTGAACTGGGAGCTATGGGAAGGACAAAGAAATTAACTTGGCATCAAGCAAAGCTGACGGGAGCTGGGGTCCTCCAGCCTCACAGTTGGGTCAGGCCATGCTGTTGGTATGTCTAGGAGTAAGTATGGGCTGGGTCCTCCTCGGGCCATGAATGGGCATAACCTTCTCCATGCCAGTGGACCTGCACTGTTTTCTGGAGACAGGTCGTCCGGTTGCAGTTGCAAGCCATCTGGACTCTTGTAGCTCAGTTCAACTCTGTCTTGGGTCACATCCCTGTGAGTCAGAGCTTTGCCTTCTGCACAAGAACCTGGTCCTGGCTCACTGTAAATGTCCAACGTTACGTTAAAAAAACGTCTTGCTCACAAAAATATAACAAGCCTAAAGAATTACAGACCTGGAAGCAGAGAGATGGTCCCCATGGAAGTCCCTTTGGCTTCACCAGAAGTCTTTGGTTGTCTTTTCTTTAGGATGTGGATGGTGCTTATATGAACAAGGTCGAGCTGCAGGCCAAAGCAGATGCGCTGGCAGATGAAATTAACTTCCTGAGAGCTCTCTACGAAGCGGTAAGCGATCAGCTCTCCCCACGATAGCATCCTTCAGACCTCCCCACCGTACAGCTCTCCACACCCTGGAGCTGTGGCCATCATGCTCAGTGCTGTAGAGCAGTAAATGAGAAGGTGGTCACTGCATTTTGGAAATTATAATGCATGTGTGAGATACAAAAAGGACATATAGGAGCACGGAAAAATGCAAGAAAATGGCTTGGCAGAGAGGGCTCCCAGGCCACCTCTTGTCTGCATGGTTTCCACCCCAGATACCAGACCATTAACTTGATTTTTTGCATCTTCTGCAGGAATTGTCCCAGATGCAGCAGCAAGTATCTGACACCTCCGTGGTCCTGTCCATGGACAACAACCGTAACTTGGACCTCAACAGCATCATTGCAGAGGTCAAAGCGCAGTACGAGGACATCGCCAACAGGAGCCGGGCTGAGGCTGAGGCTTGGTACCAAAACAAGGTGGGCAATCAGAATGACAGACTGATTTCTGTGACTCACATGGCATCACACTCATTGATGGGAGGCAGGACTAATGGAGGAAGGATCACAGCATTACACCAGAGATTAATTTTTTTTTCTATGCGTGTTGCAATAGGCTCTTGCTTACAGATCCCCAGCGTTCGCTTGTGGATCACTCCTCTTGACCAGCCTTACATTCCTTGCAGTGAAACCAAGGGACAAGATGCTTGAATGCCTTGACCCCGGGCTCCTAAGGAGTCCTGGTAGATCTGGCCTTAGACACAGAGCGCTCCT